ACCAGAAGTTTTGAGAACTAGAGGTACAGAGGGTACATTGTATTGAGAAGAGGCTAACAGCAGAGAGAAGACTAGTTAGGCAACTTTTGCAGGAATCTAGGTCATTGATTTTCAAACCCTTTGTGCATATATACCCATTGAAAGAATTATCAAAAGCTATATTCTTTCTGGCACATTTTTAAATTGATAGCTAATTTTTTCCTTTGTAAATTTAGATGGTTGTAAATAATATATTTTATAAAGTATTGTAAATAATGACATTGAAGTATGGTACATCAATCTTTTAAATGTATACAAGGAAATCCAGACACCACAGCAATTTGATACCCATTGTCACCCACTTAAAAATGTATAGGAACAGATGTTCTTCTTGATAGAAACTTTGCATTATTCCTTTTTCTTCTTAAAATTATATTTCCACTTCCCATCTCAAAATTTTGTATAATGTATTTTGTACTTGGAAAATCTTTTGATTACCTATCTCCGTTGTAACCAAAATAAATATATAAATTTAAATTAATTTTAAAATTTCCTATGACCACAAAAAAAGTATTCACCTTTTTATTCCAGATTAAGTTATCATCGAAGTTACTGCCAGGATGAAATTTCCAAAGCAATATAAATGAATTACTAATTTGAATAATTCTTTAAAATTTTTTATTGGAGACATTTCTTTTTAAAAAAAATTTTTTAACATCTTTATTGGAGTATAATTGCTTTACAATGGTGTGTTAGTTTCTGCTTTATAACAAAGTGAATCAGCTATACGTATACATATATCCCCATATCCTCTCCCTCTTGCATTGGAGACATTTCTTAATAAATGGAGCTTTTCTTTCCCCTCCAACTAGTCCATATATCCTTAGATAAATATTATTTACTTCTATAATGGGACCAGATTCCACATAAATTCTAATTTTATTTCTGTATTTGTAAACATGGAGAAAACTTTTTTGTATAAATAAGGAGATGGGAAAGAAAGAAAGGAGTTTCGTCATAACAATGTCACTCATTTCTGTGACTCCTGATACGTACATAGCAAAACAGTATATAGTGATCTACCAGTAAAATTTGTTAGCTGGCAATTTCATTAGATCCATTCTTTTTTCAGTTTCATTGAAAACGAAGAATTAAACCCACTTGATTTTCAAAAGTGGATTTACTACCAAATCATTAGAGTCATTCATTTTCTGTTTCTGGGAAGTATACCAAATATCTTTTAAAATTAGTTCAAATTATGATATTACTCTCATTTAGAGGCATCTTGTTTAAACTGATACATTCATAAAATAGAATAGTTAGTTTAAATACGGTAGTTTTTAATAACATCTTTTATCACATTTTAAATATGTGATTTAAATATGGGAAACCCTTGCACTGCCTCAAAGATAGAGTCACTTAATGAAGAGTGTCCTTCATTACAATCTTTTTGGCAATGCCAGGCCTCATAAACAAATATACTTAATTTCCAACAGAAAAGGTCTTACTTCATTTTCAATTCAAGTAAGTATATTAATGTTATGAAATATTATTTTAAAAAACAGATTTAAACTGCAGAACACATGTGCCAGAGGCATGTTTACAATGAAGCTAACAAAGCATATCCACCAGAGTGCCTTCCTTTCAAGATTCCTTCTTTTCTAATTTTAAATATTCGCTTTCACACCTCATTTTATATTTTTTGTCATAAAGAAAGCCCCTAAAACTTTGGGCCCAGTATTTCTCCCTGCATATCTGTAAAGATTAACCACAAGGGCAGTCAGGATAAGCTTAAGATGATATATATCTAATATAAATAATTTCATAATTAAGTTATGAAAATAAGATAAACCACTTCTCATTACTTAATTTCTACTAAATAATACAGAATAAAATATAGTTAAGATTATAATTTATGAAGTAAGGAATATGGTAAAAGGCCTGTTATTCCTTCAGTAAATGTTTTGGGGAGATTGAACTCTGATGTTTGACTTTGGGGAATCACTAATAAGCTTGTATAAAAATCAGAAAGAACATTTTCATCTTGGTCAAAATTTTCTTATGTATTTAATGAAAAAAGAAAGCTATATACTGATAAAAACTTATCAGATGGAGAGTTGACATACAGTTTTATTTTTATATTAGCAAGTAAAAAAATATGTTTTATATAATGAAATGAGGTTAACTAATTTTTATATAAATATTTCAGAATGAGTTGATAGATTTTACCTAACTTGTTGAGTAACAAACACTAAATCTATAGTCTGAAAGAAATCACATAATTTTTATCCATAGGATTTAGCCATCATATCTTTAAAAAAATACAGTTTCACTTAAAAGAATCACTGTCATCTACATTGCGTTTATTGTTCAAAAGTATTCTTTGTTTAGCTAACAGCATGTCCTGTGGGGTGGTATTAAGAAGAACTGCAGGGAAAATGCTTCTGCTAACGTATTTTTTTTAATTGTTCAGGCAGGGTTTTGGACTCATGGAGAATCCTTATACGGTTCTTGCTGTAGAGCCCCTTGGAAAATCTTTGTATATCCTTGGGCTTATTACTCTTCACCTGGTTTGAAGATCTCTGTACTAGTCATGAGATAAGGCTCTAACCTAAGACTGTAATAGCAGTATTGGTTAGGAGACTGATTTGAGACATTTTTAAGACATACTTTAGTGGCTCAGTAGACTTGGGAGTGAAAGATGAGTCAAAAATAATTCTTAAGATTTCCATTTTGGGGAGTTAGATAGATTGTGATACCATTCATTGCATAGAGAAAATAAAATAATCAGCAAGTGTCAGAGAGGTGGGGATGGAGTTCTTTTTGCCTGTGCAGAACTTTAATATGGAAATGTTCAATAAGTCTGAAACACAAAAGAAAGGTCAAAGATAGGGTGGTTGTAAATTTGGGAGACTGTAGTATATAAGTGAATGATACTACCTAAGGGAAATTTTTTTACAGAGAGGAAGAGATCTGGTGATGGAACCTTCGGGGAAAGGTTAACACAGGAAATGAACCTCTCCACAAAAGCAGAATAGAAAGAAAACAGTTTCATTACTGAATAAGCAGTAATCCAGAAAGTAATGTGCATCATAAGCAATCTGCTAAGAGATTACAAAAACAGAAAGAAATCTCACCCTTTTATAAAATGGCCAAACAGATTCAACCCGTTTACATACATGTTCTCAGGATAAACAGTAACTAGTCCTCAAGTAAGAGGACTTGACAGCACCATCTGTCACACATTGTTCATCCTAAATTCACTTAGTAATAGGAGTGCCCATCTGTGTTAGCTAATTGGCTTTATCCAAAAGAAAAATAAACTTCTCATATCTTTATGATAGGAGATAGTTTTGCAACTTGAAGGATACACCTGCCCAAGTTAGGCTCCTGCCCTGCCATTGAAACTGTGAGGTAAGGGCATGATAATCCTTAATGATTACATTCCAAAGAGGTAGTTCCCAAGTTCTTGAGAAAGACATTCCTGTATGTAAACCTGGCAAGAGGCTTTTAAGCAAAAGCTTTTAAAAAGATTTTTACATAAATTTCAAAGAGACAGAGAATTCACAATTTTAAATTTTCTAAAGTAAATGCTCTAAGAAGAGAGGAGAGTCTTTTCTCTCCTTTTCCACATGGACTTTTTTTTTTTTTAACTTTGTATTTATCCTTACATAAGTAATGGGAAAGAGAAAAACAGCCTTGGAGATGAAGGGGGAAATTACAAAGAGTGCTTTCATGAAAGCCACAGCAAGAGAATATTTTTCAAGGGTTGAGGGAGTAGTACTGCCTTCAAGGAGGTTATGTTATTTTAAAATAACATAAATATGTAACTTTTTAAAAAAACTAAATATAAAAAGAATATAACATTACATGGTTAATTGTATAAGTATAGACTATAAGTACTTTAGAATTTCAGTAGCATGAGGTCATTATGACCTTAAGTAGTCAGAGGAGGATTTCTGGAAGTTGGATTTTGAAGGAGAGGTTCATTTTATGTAATTCATATTTTAAACCTCAGTCTAAAACAGATCTCCATTGCAATTCTCTATAATAGGATAAATTTAGCAATGGTACCATGATATTCATAATCCATTGGCCAAAATTCTCAGTTGGGTAGTGTTGATACTTGAGTAGAGGATGACACCATTTTCCCCTATGACTTTCTATTTTCTGTGCTCTCTCTCAAAATCACCCCCTTTCAGATTAACAGGTTATTTCTTTTATATGTTAGTAGCTTCAAGTCTTCTCCAGCTTAAAAGGCACTTTTTCTCTAGGATTCTTATCTGGATTCATTTTAAGCTTAACTTGCAAAGATCAGCTATTTTTCAGTTCTTGGAAGGTACTTTGCAGTTAACCCTGATGTTACTGAGCCAAACATTATTTTGTTTTGGATTTTAGTTATCTTTGTGTTTTGGAGGTTCCCAAGCCCACCCTCAGGTTTGATGATTCACTAGGGGGACTCATAGGACTCAGCATACAGCCATAAGCATGGCTATGACTCATTATAGGAAAAGGATGCAAAACAAAATCAGCAAAGAGAAAAGGCGTCTGGGGGAACACCTGGAAGAAACCAAGCACAAGTTTCTAAGTGTCCTCTCCGAGTAAAGTCATATGGGACACACTTAATTCCCCCAGCAATAAACTGTGACAACATGTGTGAAATGTCATCTACTAAGGAAGCTCATTAGAGACTCAGTGCCCACAGTTTTTATTGGGACTGGCCATGTAGACATTCTCTGCCTGGCACATTAACAAGATTCTAGACTCATTTGTTTGCAGAAATGGTTTAGGTATAGTGAGCCACTTTTATTATCATTTAGGGAATTGTGGAAACCCTCCGGAAATCTAAGATCCCAGGTACCGGTCAAGTGTCAACATTGCAAACAGACCTTTTTGAAGATGGCAGCCTCAGGCCTGCTGTGTTAACCCTTTTCTCTACAGCTTTTTTTTTTTAATCCAGTGATTTGCAGATAAAATCAAGAATTGACACATCAAGTAACTGTCTTTTAAATATACTACAGGTATGCGCCAGAATCACTGACAGAGAGCAAGTTTTCTGTGGCCTCAGATGTTTGGAGCTTTGGAGTGGTTCTGTATGAACTTTTCACATATATTGAGAAGAGTAAAAGCCCACCAGCGGTCAGTTTGCTTTTTATTTACTCTCAAGGTTTTTTTTTAACATGAGAAAAGCTTTTTCCAAAGAATAATATAGTAAGCTTAGGGTTATTTTAGAGCTCCTATTGCTTATTTGTAAGACAGCATCCAACAAAATAATCCCAAACTTACTCATTAAATTAACTTGATGTTTTAAAAAGTGGGGATTGGAGTACTATTTAGTATATTCTCTTAATATTATCTTCAGTAAATCCGATAAACTCATTCATTCCAGGAATTATTGCAAAAGTTAAACCTTTTAAAGTAATATTTTTTCTGTTCATTGTATAATTTTAATATAGGAAAGTATAAAAAAGAAAATAAAAATAATCTCTAATTCAACTACTCAGAAATAACCACTTTAATACCACTTTAATAACCACTTTAATGTTTTCTTACAGGCTTCTTTTAATTTTATATATAAAAGCGAAATTTTATTAAAAAGATTTCTTTTATAACAGGTCATACTGTACAGTTTGCTATCCTGCTTTTTCATTACATATTATAGCATGGATATTTTCCTATATTAGTAAATATTTACTGCAAATATGACTTCTAATTCCTTGGTAGCATTTCATCATAAGGATATAATTTCTGGACAATTATTTTTCAGTCTTTTAAGTAACACTTCATTGAACATAGTGCACATCCTTATATATATTTATGTTCATCTCTGGTTGTCATCTTAGAGAGTAAAAGTATAATTATAGGTGAAACGTTATGAACTCTTTCATAGGATTTTCATTATTTCAAAATGCTTTGAAAGCTGTACCAGATTAGACTCTCAGTAGCTGTGCATAGGGGTATACGTTTTATCATTTGCCAGTGTTGACTATTATATTTCTACACAGTTTTGCCAAATTGATGGGAGAGAAGTTGTACCTGTTGGATTTTAATTTGCATTTCTGCTATTAGTGTGATTGAATACATATTTATTGGGTATTTGGGGTGAGTCTGTGCGTGTGTGCATTGTATCTTCATGTACTTTGCCCATTTTTATATTGGTAATTTTTCTTACAAGTATATAAGAGCTCTCTGTGTTTAAATAAACGATGTGTTCATTGTAAATACTTCTCTAGCTTATGGTTCAGACTTCAATTTTATGAATTTTAAACATAGAACTTTTTCTCTCCGTTCCATTTATGCTTAAATATTCATTCTGTGTTTTCTTTTTATTATGTCTTCTTTTACATTCAACTTTTTATTTCACCTGAAATGTAATATGATGTGTTAAAACAAAGTAAGTGTTTTTAGTTCACTGGTTTTGAACCTTTTCAGGGAATTTGTGCTGAGTATGTTACAGTTATGGAAATGGCATTATAGACGTTCCACATTTAACAATCTTTTCTGAACTGTGACTGAAAACAAAGTTTTTGAAGTTAAAATAGTCTGTTTTTAAAATGTTTCAAGGTAAGGAAACATACAGGATTTTTCCCATTTACTGGAAGAAGTTGAGAAAGAATTCTGATTCAAATTAAATGTACCAAAAATGTGTCATTGAAAAGTGGGTTTGTGTTTCAGGAATTTATGCGTATGATTGGCAATGACAAACAAGGACAGATGATTGTGTTTCATTTGATAGAACTCCTGAAGAATAATGGAAGATTACCAAGACCAGATGGATGCCCAGATGAGGTAACAAAAAATTTTTTTTATCCACAGTAATCATGCATTTTCTTTCTCTCTTTACCCAAGGATTTCAGGTCAGTTTATGTAATTTAATTTGCTGAGGTTGTAGAAAAATAGCATAATCATGACTGCGGATATAGGTATATCCATGACACATGCCTGTACAGGTAAATTAAGTGGGAGTTCTGAATTTATGTCTTCACCAATTAAAAGATGGCACTTTGTGCTCATTGTAAGTTTGGTTTATTTTCCCTTTTACAGATTTATGTAATCATGACAGAATGCTGGAACAATAATGTAAACCAACGCCCTTCTTTCAGAGACCTAGCTCTTCGAGTTGATCAAATAAGAGACAGCATGGCTGGATGAAAGAAATGAACTTCACTCTGAGACCAAAATAGACTTACAGAACAAAGTGTTATATTTCACATTACTGTGGACTGTTACTACATGTATCATTATTATGTATATCATGACTTTAGCCAGCAAAGGTGTGGAAGTATCTGCTCAGAGCTTTCAAAAGTTTAGTGAGTTTTTCTTCATGAGGACACCAGCCAAAGATACTGATGAAAAGTCCTTAGCAAAGAGTTTTGTAAAAAGTTTCGTGAACCTAATCAGCCAGTTAATATCACCTTTGGCAAAAGAAGAAACAGACTTTTTTCAACTCAGAATTATGAGAGATGAAAAAATTGTAAATGTTTAATATGCACAGAATACGTATGTACAGTTTTTACCACAGTGAATGTATAATACCTTGACATCTTGTGTGATGTTTTACACAAGAGCTGGTATTCATAAATAATGTTTTCTAATTTTTCCATAGTTGATCTGTAATAACTTCACTGTACAAATTAAGATGCTCAGATAATTGAATAAGCACCTTTGTGTCCTTGTTCATCTATATCACTGGCCAGCAATATAAGCAGCTGTATACTTTTAGCTTGCTGTTCTATGTACTGTAAATATTTTTCAAAGCAAAGGGAACAAATGTTTAGTTTTATTTGTATAGGGAATTTCCCTGACTCTAAAGAATACATTTTGAGATGGAACAAGTTTACAAAGATATAACACAATCTATTTTCTTATTTCTCTCCCTAGTATCTGTTTGTGGCGAGTATGTTTTTTAAATAGAACTGTCTCCAGGCTTTTCTAAGACTACAGTGAACAGTTTTCTTTTAAAATTTTGAGATGACGAATGCCAGGAATATTGTCATCCCTTGAGCTACTGGCTGCCAATAAGACTCTTCAATCCCTGGGACCTATAGTCATGGATTAAATTTAAGTGTAAGCCATAAAATAGATTGTTTTTCATATATATATGCCTATTAAGATGCACAGTGGGTTAGGAATTTTTTCTAAAGAATTTATATTTTAGGGATTTCAGAAATCTGTTGCCGCTATAAAAGAGATTTTCTTTTGTTAGATTCTTACAAGGGGGAAATGAGAGTAAATTGGTAAAAAAAAAAGAAAGTATGCTTGTTAATTTTATTCAAGAATGCCAGTAGAAAATTCATAATGTCTTGAAGAAAAATCAGCATTTTTCAACTGAGTATACAGGGTCGTTTGTTACTGTTGTCGTTTGTTTTAGTGCTACTCCATTTTAGACACCATACCTAAAATTTGGTGGAGTTTTTTGTCTGTGTGTTATTTATACAAAGTTTAAAATACTTGGAGAAAATAGTTTCTTTATTTTCAATGCTATATGCTTTTTTTCTTTTAACTTGAACTTAAGACTTTTGATTATCTTTCTATTTTTTGGAGCTGGTTTTAAAACGAATATTATATAAGAAAAAAATGCCTCACATATAAAGTTTGAGTTTTTTGTTGGAAGGAAAGGGAAGAAATGCTTTTTATGCTATCTTTAAAGCATTTTACCAAATAGTAGTTACACCAAATGCACAAATCATCTAAAATAATATATTAGATTTTAAAAGATTTCTAGTAAACATTATATTTTGATGAAAGTTGAATATAATTTTTGTTTAATTTGTAAAGACTCCTCCAGGATCTCTGTATGTAATACATTTAAGAGATCTTCTGTTCTGCTACTTTTCATGTCCAAAGTAGCATATCATATATGTTTGATTGCAGATTTTTGTACTAAAACTTAAGTACCTAAAAGTAGATTCTTAAAGGTTGATAACATTTTGTTTATAAAAACAAGGATGGTAACTAGGTTTCTTTTTTAAAAGTTTTTCTTTTAATGTTTCCATTTTTAGTTTTAGGAGAAAAATCCCACATAAACATCTTAAGTTTTTAGAATGGGATGACAGCCTTATTGTAAAATTCTAAGTTTTCAAGAGAATTATTATTTATTGAGGGTTTGTGATGTTTTAAATTTTGATTCTGACCATACATAAAAGGAAATTAACCATGCAGCTGTTTAGTTGGTTCTGCACAAGACACAGGTAAGTCAGTATTGTACCAGTTAATGCCAAAATGTTTCTTCAAAGTAATACTCTTCAGAAATGAGCGTAAAGATTTTCTTAAAATTCTGCAATTCTGTAAATATTCCAGTATTTTAAGTTACACAGTCTTTATATAAATAATTCCCTATATCCATGACTACCTGCTTTGGGAAATAGTCACTTTTTCATGTTATTTATGTATGCTGCCAGTAGCACTATAATTTGCTATGGAAGAGTGCTTTCTTACAACCCAAGACTTCTGCTTTAAAGTCAAGTGAAATTTTTATCAAAACCATAACTCCTGATATTTAAATTTTATTTAAAGAGTTTTGCTATAGAGTAGACTTTAGAAAATACCTATAGTTCTATACCTGGGGAGCCATTCTTTTTGGGGTGGCATGATGTGGTCAGATTGAGACTGTATTATTTTCTTCATTGTGCCTTTAGCATGTTCCCACAAAACTGAAATACTCATGTAATAAATATTCAGAAGTTATTTTCTTTTGTATTGTCACCTAACCAAGGAACTGCAGGTACACACATTGATTTAGGGATATGCAGAGAAAGACTTTTATAAAGTAAACTTACCTTTCAGTTTAAAAGAAATGCTTCCTAAGAGTGCTATCAACTACTTTGTGCTGCTTATGAACACTGCTATATCCACCCTAGGTCTGGTATGTAAATTATTTCTAATGAAAGTTTCTCTAATTTTCCAGTACAACTTACTAAAGATCTTTAATCTCCTATATTAGAATAAATAATAACAGTAAGTCAGCAGAACTATCCAAACAAAAGACTAGGTTATATGAGATAATCTTCATTTTATTTAAGAAAAAAAAAAGTATAAATATCAGAAAATACTTTATATTGACACCCTGATTTGGGTTGGTTGTACTTAATTTCAAGATAACTAGCTGCTAACTGTTTTATGATACTGACAGTAACATTAGAGAGATTTCAGAATGACAGTGAGAGAATTTTTAAACTTTCACATTAGTCAAATGCATATGATATGCACATCACATTATATACCTAAATATTAAAATTACCAATTTTGTTTACCTTTATTACAGTATGTTCTTCATAGGTTAAGAAATTAACTTCTACTGTGCTTATGCTAGATGGCATTGCTTAGTGCAGGCCCTAAATATTGTTCTTTTCCAGTCTTATAAAATTTATAAGGAAAATCCTTATCTCCAACTGAAACACCAATTGTTATTAATATATCTTTAAAAGTTTTTAATTATCATTTTCTATTATAAGGCCTTTCTTTGCATAGCAAATTGCTTAACATCTTATTTTGAACTGGAACAGATTTACAACATGAGATCATTAAAAGAGCTTCTAGGAGTCTCTGTTCCAGTTATCCATATTCTTAGCTTTTGTGAATATGTGTTATGTTTTTAATACCTGTACTAGGAAGCACTCCTATAGATGCTATTTATTGGGGTCAAGCAAGTCAACTTTGAGCAGTGTGAACAGACAGTAGCATAGCTTTTAAGTCTGACAACAGGTAAATAGCATTAATAAACAAAACTAGGTGGTAAGGAAAAGGCATATAGCAGGATTTTATAGAGACAGCAGGCAGCTGGAAAGGCAACTTACCAGTTGCAGATGATAAGCAGAACAAGTACACTAAAAACACAAATGAAAGTATGCAATAGAAAGGTTTGTTCATCAATTATCCTTTCAAGATCATAGTTAAAAATGTTTAGGTGCTTTTCACACGCAAAAAAGATAATTAAGTATTTTTAATGAAAAAGTTTAGGGTGTTTCAAATGCTTGGAATATATGTGAATCTCAGAGCGTGAATTTTCTAGTAGCATGGAGTATAAGCTTGTGAGTTGCAATTTATTTACTGAAACTAAAAACGTTAGAGATTAAGAAAGTCATAGATACTAAAGAAAATGGAAATAAAATGAGAAAGATAAACCTACACTCAATTATGAAAATATCTACTTGAAATTTCTTTCAACTTCAACAACTTGAAATACACATATGATACTTTCTTCTTCTGCAATAATAGTTTTGTTGAAGGTTGCTGTAATGAACCTTTATAACTATCCCAAATTTTAAGTATATAAGAACAAAATTTATTTTATGTCCTTAGTAACATTTAGGATGTTGGATTAATTTTGGTTGGAGAGGAATGAAAAGAAAGTTGTTTGTAGAATCAAAGATTTCACCTTGATTCTTAAGAGCAAATAACTGAATTCTCCAACAGTACTGATTAAAATACTTTTAATCTGCATAACCAAGGTAGCCTAAGCCCTTGAGTGCAAGCTGCAGGTAGCGCAGATCTAAATGACAAATTTGAAGTAGTTTGTGTCAAATGATAGCACTTATTGTCTACTGTTTACAAAGCATTTTAAAAACAAGTCACTGTTTCCCACAAATTCTGCCAGAATATTGTTTTTCTTCTTTCTTTCTTTTAAAAAGTGTTTTAAATCCTGTTTCTATCAGTAATTTGAGGATAGCGTGAATCCCATGGTACCACTTCTTTTCCTTCCTGTTACTAGTTTTGTAACATTATCATGCAGCTTACTGAATAGGAATTCTTGATAATAGAGTAAAGGTATTGGTGACAAAGAAAAAAAAATTGAAACAAAGTCTTACCTTTTTATTGAAGGACTTTGAGAAATGTTGAAGTTGAATTCTAAAACTCGAGTATACCATTATAATTCTTTAAGGTGGCCCAGTTTACTTCCAAAGCTACTATTACAGAGGAAGAAATTTCCAAAAATTTAGAGAAATAGAGGATAATCTTTTTCCTAAAAATGATTTGGAAATCTGAGACCTAAGGAACAATGAGTGTGGTGATGGGAAAAGGGAATTTCTAAATTTCTGTCAGATCTCAGATTAAACTCACACTTAATGGGAATTTTTTTCTAACATCTTGAATTTCTCTTATTTTAGGATTACTATGATAAATGTAGAAGGTTAGAGTATGGATAGCTCAGTCAAATGCCAACTACTATGGGTCTAGTAATTCTCTAGGTCATTTTCTTATAGTTGCTCCAACTTGGCCACTTAAGGGTCAGATTCTTAGTAGAGTCATTTTTCTTTTCTAAACTTAAAAAAAAAAAAAAAAAAAATGACCATATCCACATTGTATACCACTTCAGACCTTCCTATATATGCACTCACTTACCAATGCTGACAAATGCAAGCTCCCTACGACTTTCAAGTTGCATCAGATAATTCATGTTAATGGTTGTAGTAATGAAGCCATCACCTCTTGATAAAATCCTAAATCCCATTCACATATTCAGAATAAAGAAGAGTAGATAGTGCAGTTGTGGATATAGACAAAGGAATCCTGGGTAATCTTATGGGAGGGTTAATCCTGAAGGTATTTCACCTTAGAATTTCCTGTTAAGTAAATATTCAGAGAAAACCAAGAGATTTAAACTTTCAGTTCTGCTGCAGCTTTGAGGATATGAGCCCTAATCCTGGTGTTTTCAGGGAATCTAGTTTGGTGTGGCCCCAAATGATCTCAAATATAAAGGATCCATAGAAAGGATATCTTGGGCCTGGGCCTAATATGAGAGTTGGAGTTTCATGTATTACTTCTCTTTAGAGCATGCTTTTTCAGCAGAGGTGATATCAACTCTCGGGGTGAGTACTGATGAAAAACCTTGTTCTTTTTATGTATAAAGCACAGACATACATACAGTACATAAACAGGTATGCAATGATATGAAAATTTCATGGTGAAAGAGATTAGGAGAAAATGTCTAAAAACCTCCTTCCAAGGATGGGGGATAATGCAAAAAAAGTAGAGAAACACTGCTCTGAAGTGTACTCATGTGGACATGGGCCAAACCAGCACTACCTCAGAAGTGACTTCAGTAAGAGAGGGAAGATATGTCAGTGTGAGGACACTGAGAGTATTATATCTTTTTGTTTTTTATTTATTTTATTTTATTTTTTGGCTGTGTTGGGTTTTCATTGCTGCACACGGGCTTTCTCTAGTTGCAGCGAGTAGGGGCTACTCTTTGCAGTGCGCAGGCTTCTCATTGCGTTTTGGAGCACGGGCTCTAGGTGTGCGGGCTTCAGTAGTTGTAGCACACAGGCTCAGTAGTTGTGGCTCATGGGCTCTAGAGCACAGGCTCAGTAGTTGTGGCATACAGGCTTAGTTGCTCCAGGACATGTGGGATCTTCCTGGACCAGGGCTCGAACCTGTGTCCCCTGCTTTGACAGGTGGATTCTTTTTTTTTTTTTTTTTTTTTTGCTGTACGTGGGCCTCTCACTGCTGCAGCCTCTCCCGCCGCGGAGCACAGGCCCTGGACGCACAGGCCCAGCGGCCACAGCTCCCGGGCCCAGTCGCTCTGCGGCATGCGGGATCCTCCCAGACCGGGGCACGAACCCATATCCCCTGCATCGGCAGGTGGACTCCCAACCACTGCGCCACCAGGGAAGCCCGACAGGTGGATTCTTAAACACTGTGCCACTAGGGAAGCCCTGAGAGTATTAGATCTTTAAGCAAATATTCTAAATAGTGTATCTAAACTAAAAAAGAAAAAAATCAGTTAATATGTAATCTTTTTAAAGTCATCCAATTTTAATATCTCTAGAATTTAAGGACTTTCCTTAACAGATACAAAAATTAAGTCTTCTTCAGTGGAGATACACCCCTGAGTACCATTCTGTTGTCTTGTTTTTACATTTCACAATAAATAAGATACAATAATCTTCTCAAAAAACTTAGGGTATTTTAATGATATGCAGTGTATTAGCAGTTTTTCTTCTTGATCATAAGAGGTGATAAGAAAGATACTAAAACCATGGCATATTACTGTATATTAAAGTCAAAGGAAAATTTCCACAGAAATAGTAAAGAAACTAACAATACCAAATGAAGATCATATCTGTGCTATGAAATTACCCAGTCAAGGCATTCATCTTTGAAAAATGCTGCAGCTTTTATTTCTTCTCTTTTATTGTATCCATCTTAATGGATGTGACGTTGTTTAGCATTGTGGTTTTCATTTACATTTCACTAATGATTAATGGTGTTAAGCATCTTTTTTATTTTTCTTTTTTTTTTTGCGGTACACAGGCCTCTCACTGTCGTGGCCTCTCCCGTTGCGGAGCACAGGCTCCAGATGCGCAGGCTCAGCGGCCATGGCTCACGGGCCCAGCCGCTCTGCGGCACGTGGGATCTTCCCGGACCGGGGCATGAACCTGTGTCCCCTGCATCGGCAGGCGGACCCTCAACTTCTGCACTTGGGAAGCCCAAGCATCTTTTAATATGCAATTTTATTGGCCATTTTTTTAATCTTTGGAGAAATGTTTAAGTCATTTGCCCATTTTAAAATTGGGTTCTTTTTTTGTTAAGCTATAGAAGTTCTTTCTATATTCTGGATATTAACCCCTTATCATATATATAATTTGCAAATATTTTTCCCATTCTGTGGGTTGCCATTTTATTCTGTTGATTGTATCCTCTTATGCACAAAAGTTTTTAATTTTGATAATTCCAACTTATCTACTTTTACTTTTGCTGTCATATTCAAGAAATCATTGCCAAATCCATTGTTAGAAGAAAACATTGGGAAAAAGCTTCAAAAGTGTTTTATGTCTTTAACTCTTGACGTTTAGGTCTTTGACCCATTTTGGGTTAATTTTTCTGTATGTTGAAAGGTAAGGGTCCATTTTTTGCATGTAGATTTATAGTTTTCCCAACGCCGCTTCTTGAAAAGAGTGTCTTTCTCCCATTGAATGATCTTGGGGGTACCCTTGTTGAAAACTGTTTGACTATATACATTAGTGATTATTTCTGAGCTTCCTGTTTTATGCCATTAGTCTTTATGTTTGTCTTTATGCCAGTACCACACTGTTTTGATTACTGTAGCTTTTGTAGTAAGTTTTGAAATCAGGAAGTGTGAGACCTCCAATTTTGTTGTTCTTTTTAAAAATTGTTTTGGCTATTTGGTGTCCCTTGAGATTGCATATGAATTTTAGGATGGGCTTTTCTATTTCTGCAAAAAAAATCATTGGGATTTTGATAGGGATTGCATTAAATCTGTAGATTGTACTTAGGGTCGGGGTAGTATCCTCCTACATAGATTACCTCATTTTATCCTCACAACTCTGAGGTAGGTACTATTATTTTTCTCATTTTAAGCATGTAGACATTGAAATTTAGCAAGATACGAATTTCCAAGTCCCACGTTTAGAAAGAAGGGATGTTGGAATTTGAATTTAGGCAGTCTGAGTCCAATGCCAGAGTTCATAACCACTTCACTATGCTGCCTTTCACAGCTTTGGCAGCATGCATATAAAGCAGCAATAAACTAGATAAGCTTTCTACAGTGATCCGTGATTGTATTTCCCAGGTGGCAAGATGACAGAATCAGTCATTTCAGTTCCCAGTGAAAATTATTTGAATATATTTTTACATGTACTCTCACATCCTATCCTCCAAAAAAGATTTAAGTGCACAACAATTTGATAAAATGTAGAAAAGTAAATCTTTGTAGAAGGAGCAATGTAAGGGATAATAATACCTTTTGCTAGATGACAAGAGAAAGTTGAAAGTAAATAAACTTTAAAAAAAAAAAAAAGGTTTGGGAGGTACAACATGACTGAGCTGAACAGGAAGGAGCAGGTGTAGCAGATGCCAGGACAGTGCACAGAAGGTCTCTGGGACCCAGGGTACCAGGACCCAGGGTACCTGCACCCAGGGCAAAAGCAGTGACTTCATAGGAGCCTGGGCCAGACATACTTGCTGGTATTGGATGGTCTCCTGGGGAGGCAGGGGGTGTCTGTGGCTCTCTCTGGGGTCATAAAAGCTGGTGGTGGAAATATTTGGGGAGAGTTCATCTACTGGAGCTCTTGCTGGAGGCAGATATTTTGCTTGGGTCTATAGCACCAAGACCTGGCATCACTCAACAGCCTGTAGGCTCTAGTGCTGGGATGCATCAGGCCAACCAACCAACAGGGCAGGAGCACAGCCCCACCCATTAGCAGACAGTCTGCCTAAAAACTTTCTGAGCCCACCTCAGACATGGCCACCTCAAGACATGGCCCCTGACACGGCCCAGCCCAGCAGAGGGCCAAGACCCAGCTCTATCCACCAGTGGGCAGGCATCGGCCCGTCCCACAAGGAAGCCTGCACAAGCTTCTAAGCCAGACATCTGTCAGGTGGCAGACAGCAGAAGCAAGAAAACTGAAATCCTGCAGCCTGTGGAACTGAGTCTGCAAACACAGGTCAGAACCTACCCTGGGACCAGGTGGTCCCTGGCCCTTGGGCAACAAGAGTAGAGTCAACTGCTAGGACACATGGGACATCCCCTACAGAGGGCCACTTATTCAAGGTTGGGAAACATAACTAACCTTCCATATACATAAGAATACAAATATAAATTTAGACAATGAGACAGCAGAGGAATATGTTCCAGATGAAGGAACAAGATAAAACCCCAAAGCAACAACTAAGTAACATGGAGATAGGCAGTACACTCAAAAGAACTTAGAATAATGATCGTAAAGATGATCCAAGAACACGAAAAAGAATGGATGCACAGAGCAAGAAGTTACAAGAAGTTTTTAACAAAGAGAAAATATAAAGGACAAAAAGAGATGAACAATAAAATGAAAAATATACTAGAAGGAATCAGCAGACTAACTGAGGCAGAAGAATGCATAAGTGAGATGGAAGACATAATGGTGGAAATCACTGCATGGAACAGAATACAGTAAAAAGAATGAAAAGAAATGAGGATGGTCTAAGAGACCTCTGGGATAACATTAAATGCACCAACATTCGTATTATAGGGGTCCCAGAAGGAGAAAAGAGAGAGACGACCTGAGAAAATATTTGAAGAGATAATAGCTGAAAACTTCCCTAACATGGGAAAGGAAACAGTCACCCAAATTCAGGAAGCACAGAGAGTCCCATACAGGATTAATGCAAGGAGGAACACACCGAGAGTAATCAAATTGACAAAAATTATAGACAATAAATAAATAAATAAAAGCAACAAGGGAAAAGCAACAAATAACAGACAAGGGAACTCCCATAGGTTATCAGCTGATTTCTCAGCAGAAACTCTGCAGGCCAGAAGGGAGTGGCACAATATATTTAAAGTGATGAAAGGGAAGAACCTATAACCAAGCATACTTTACCCAGCAAGGGTTTCATTCAGATTCTAAGGAAATCAAAAGGTTTACAGACAAAAGCTAAGAGAATTTATCACCACCAGACCAGCTTTGCAACAAATGCTAAAGGAACTTCTCTAGGGGGAAAAGAAAAGGCCACAACTAGAAACAAGAAACTTACGAATGGGAAACCTCACCAGTAAAGGCAAACATACAGTAAAGGTAGGAAATCATCTGCACACAAATATAACAAAATGAGCAATCGTGAGAAGAGGAGAGCACAAATGCAAGATATTGGAAATGCATTTGAAATTAAAAGACCAGCAACTTAATCTTGCTTATGTATAGACTGCTATATCAAAACCTCAGGTTAACTGAAAACTGAAAATCTACAAGATATACACAAAAAAGAAAATGGAATCCAAACCCACACTAAAGATAGTCATCAAATCACAAGGGGAAAAAAAATCACAAGAGAACAAAAGAGGAAGGGAAAAAAAAGCCTACAAAAACAAATCCAAAACAACAAAATGGCAATAAGAACATACATATTGATAATTACCTTAAATGTAAATGGATTAAATGCTCCAACCAAAAGACACTGGCTGAATGGATACAAAAACAACACCCATATGTCTGCTGTCTACAAGATCTGGATCTGAAGACCCACTTCAGATCCAGGGACACATACAGACTGAAAGTGAAGGGATGGAAAAATGTATTCCATGCAAATGGAAATCAAAAGAAAGCTGGAGTAGCAATACTCATATCAGACAAAATAGACTTTAAAATAAAGACTATAAGACTGTTAAAGAAATAAGACTGTTACAAGAGACAAAGAAGGACACTACATAATGATCAACAGATCAATCCAAACAGAAGATATAACAATTGTAAATATATATGCACCCAACATAGGAACATCTCAACATACGAGGTAAATACTAACAGCCATAAAGGGAGAAATCAATAGTAACACAATAATAGTGGGGGACTTTAACACTCCACTTATATCAATGGACAGATCATACAGACAAATCAATAAGGAAAAACAGGCCTTAGATGACACATTAGACCAGATGGACTTAACTGATATTTATAGAGCATCCCATCCAAAAGCAGCAGAATACACATCTCAAGTGTACATGGAACAGTCTGCAGGATTGATCACATGCTGGCCAACAAAGTGAGCCTTGATAAATTTAAGAAAGTTGAATCACATCAAGCATCTTTTCCGGCCACAACACCATGAGATTAGAAGTCAACTACAAGAAAAAAATTGTAAGAAAACACAAACACATGAAGGCTAAAAAATATGCTACTAAACAGTCAATGAATCACTAAAGAAAGAGGAAATTGAAAAGTACCTAGAGACAAATTAAAACAAAAGCACGATGATCCAAAACCTATGGGATGCAGCAAAAGCAGTTCTAAGATGAAGTTTATAGCAATACAGTCTCACCTTAGGAAACAAGAAAAATCTGAAATAAATGACCTAAACTTATACCTAAAGCAACTACAGAAAGAAGAACAAAAAAACCCAAGTTTAGTATAATGAAAGAAATCATAAGGATCAGAGCAGCAATGAATGAAATAGAGACTAAGAAAACAATAGAAAAGATCAATGAAACTAAAAGCTGATTCTTTGAAAAGATAAACAAAATTGATAAACCTTTAGCCAGACTCATAAACTAAAAGAGGGAGAGGGCTCAAAACAATAAAACTAGAAATGAAAAAGGAGAAGTTAGAGTAGACATCACAGAAACACAAGGGATCATAAGAGACTACTACAAGCAACTATATGCCAATAAAATGGACAACCTGGAAGAAATGGACAAATTCCTAGAAAAGCACAACCTTCCAAGACTGAACCGGGAAGAAATAGAAAATATAAACAGAGCAATCACAAGCACTGAAATTGAGACTGTGATTTAAAATCTTCCAACAAACAAAAGCCCAGGACCAGATGGCTTCACAGGCGAATTCTATCAAACATTTAGAGAAGAGCTAACACCTATCCTTCTCAAACTCTTCCAAAATATAGCAGAGGCAGGAACACTCCCAAACTCATTCGACGAGGCCACCATCACTCGGATACCAAGACCAGACAAAGATGTCACAAAGGAAGAAAACTACAGGCCAATATCACTGATGAACATAGATGCAAAAATCCTCAACAAAATCTGGCAAACAGAATCCAACAGCACATTAAAAGGATCATACACCATGATCAAGTGGGGTTTATCCCAGGAATGCAAGGATTCAATATACGCAAAAAAATTCAAACATATTAATGCATTGTAAGTGTATATTATATAGATATGTGGAAAAGAACCTTTGTCCTAAGAAATAACAGAGCCAAATAGGAATTTAAAAATTTAACTAAAAAGAACATTACAGTACATATTTGGGAAAGAAACTAGAAAAAGATTTCAAATGATACTTACCCCCTAATTAATGGCAGAAAAGTAGGAATTCCACTTTTGATTCTATGTATAAACTTTATATGTAGCATTAATATGTAGCATTAAAAAATCTTCACATGTGGACATAAAGTGGAAAAACACACCAAAAACTTAAGTGTTATAACATCTATATTGAGTTGAGATACGAAAGCACATAAATAGCAGAATTTCTACAATATTCATATAGTGACTCTATTACCAGTGGTTCTCAACCTTTAACCTACTTCAGAATGACCCAGAAGGCCTATAAAAATGCAGACCACTGAGCCCTATACCCAGAGTTTCTGATTCAGTAGGTCTGGGGGAGGACATTAGAACTATATTTCTAACAAGTTCCCAGGTGATGCTGACACTGCTAACCTGGTCAGCCCTCTATTCTGACCAAGGCAGAATAAAATTTCACATTATATCAGTACCTTCAAAGCAAAGACAGAGGATCCTGGAGAGAGATTACAACCTAAAGAAAGTCACTGAACTCTAAGTCCTCAATAGAAACTGAAAAAACTTCTGACTGACCAGTTACTATTATAAAACACAAAGAATTTTAAATGTACCTACTATTGCAGTATAAGAGCTCCTACTAGGAGTAGTAGTTGATTAGTTAGTTTTAAATTGGTAGGACAGATGTATTAGCATACTGGAGTGAGCGTAATAGTCATGGGCACCAGTCTGTATATCATACACATGGAATGCAGAACATTCCATAATCCATTTAAATGTAGCTTAAGAGAGTTTCAATCATACTGACAAAAATAAACCGGTTAATTCTTAGATGTCTACAATGATCATGCCATGTCCGGTAACATCTTCTTCAAATATAAAAATATATGAAAAATAGGGCACCAAAGAAAATACTAAGATTCCTATTACCACCATAAAATATTGTCAAGTGCTTGCAAGTACATTCAGATGTTGTTCACAGTAGAGAACTTACAAGGACAATCACCAAAATTAAAAGTAAAATATATTAAGCTATTTATTAAGTTAGTATAATTCCTATGATGGTTAGTACATCTCAGTCACAACTGCTGATGCTTCTTTAAGTTTTTATAATCAATATATGGAAGGCATGCAATAATAAGTTCTTTTTGTACATCCCTTCAGACAACATTTTTCTGAGTATCCTCTGCACTTTCTTTGGGGATGATTCCCCCAAAACAAATTGTTTAAGGTTTTAATTTTGTTTGTATTTTTCTTCTGAAATTCTACAATCTCATGAATATATGGACTGATATCTTGTGATGAGGAAAATATCTCTTATCTTGTCTTAAAAGGCAAGTTGGCCTTTTTGTACTGATGCTCAGACAGTGACTGCATCTTCAAATTGTTTAATGCTTCTTCCTGAGAGGCAAAAGTAGAGACTGTTGAGAGACAAGAAAAAATCCTACTTTATTAAAATCTTCGTTTAGCTGAAAATTTAATCATAATGCTGTAATACTAGAGTCAGCTAATTTTGAAAACACAAGTAATCACATTTTAACTAGTAAAATGGTTATTTGAAAGCAATGTATATTTTTAACTAAAATAGTTGTAGGTATTGTTTTCCTATAAAAAAGGCCTAGAAACATTTGCACATTTTTATGCAAAAAATATTGAGATATAACTCATATGCCATAAAATTGAGCATTTTAAAGTATACAATTAATATATTCACAAGGTTGTGCAAACATCACCACTACCTAATTCCAGAACATTTCTATCACCCACAAAAGAAACCCCCACCCATTAGCAGTCACTCCCATTTCCCTCTTCCTCCAGCCCCTGGCACCTACTAATCTACTTTCTATTCTATGGATCTGCCTAAATCATACCATATGTGGCCACCTGTGTCTGGTTTCTTTCACTGAGCATATTTTCAAGGTTCAACCATGTTGTAGCATCTCTAGCAATACTTTATTCTTTTTATGGCTGAATAATTTTCCACTGTATGGATATATCACATTTTGTTTATCTGTTTATCAGTTGATGAACATTTGGGTTGTTTCTACTTTTTGACTATTATGAATAGCACTGCTCTGAACACCCACATACAAGTTTTTGTGTGAACACATTTTCAGTTTTCTTGGATATATACCTAGGAGTAGAACTGCTGGATCATATGGTAAATTTGTTTAACTTTTTTAGGAACCGCCAAACTATTTTCCACAGTGGTTGTACCATTTTACAATCCCACCACTAGGCTTCCAACTGCTACACATCTTCACCAACATTTGATATTTTTCATATTTTGATGAGAGCCATCCTAATGGATGTGAAGTGGTATCCCATTGTGGTTTTAATTTGCAATGACCTTGCAACTAATGATGTTGAGCATTTTTCATGTGCTTACTATATATCCTCCTTGTAGAAATGTCTATTCAAATCCTTTGCCAATTTCTAATTATTTGTCTTTTAGGCACATTTTTAACTAAGTGGTTAGTAGAAGCCATTTTGGTTTTTGTTGAAATATAAAGAAATGGAAAAGTAGTGATACGCTCAATGAACTGATTATTTCTATTATACTGCTCTTACTCAATATTACTGATAATAAATTAAAATAACACCAGAAGGTAATTAGTTGGCGGCTTGTTGGATTTCCATCATTGCCCTTGCCCATCTACAGTCCCTTTTGGGAGATATATTTGCCTCTAGCCATTGCTGTAGAGTCACCCTTAGGCAGTCATAGGGTGATTCCACCTTATATCCACAGATGAATAGTCAGGAGGTTGGCACCTGACCCCAAACAAACCAATCTACTACAGTGGCCAGCAATCCATGCCATGTGAAAAATAAGTTGGCTCAATCAGATTTCCTCTCTTTAAAATTAGAACTAAGAAGTAATGAGAACAAGATGAGTTAGAACCAAAACTGAGAGGATACTATGAAGCTTATCATGACAAGCTAAAGTTATAAAGGAACATAGATATTAGAGGAGAAAAGATTCAGAGAGAGAAAGAGAGAAGGTGATTTTTAGCACTGACTTGATTCCTTAGGCTTTCCAGGGCCTTTCCAGATCCATTTACAGATCTTGTTTTTATAATAACTATCCTCCGCTTTTTTCTTGAGGGTATTTAGGAGAAACTCTGTCTCTTGCAGTGACAGTCCTATTAGAATACTCTGTAATAACTTTGTATTTAATAAATGCCTAAGACAAAATGTGGAATAGTAAAACTTTAGGACAGATATTAATCTATTCTAAAGTAGCAAATAATGTCATCTAAGACAGATAAATATGTGATCAATTAAAGTGTGTCACAATGAACAGAGTACACTGAAGGGAAAAGTGAATTAGGTTGTCTACGCAGGTTGAAGAAAGACCTTCCTGGATGAGATGTGCCATGTTCTGCCACTTAAAGGGAAAAAAAAGGCAGACAATAAGAAGGAAACTTGTTCATGAATGAAGGCAACTAGGGACTAGTTAATGAAAAGTACATGTCAAATTGGAGAGGGAACTTAAAAGGGAAACAAGCTGTACTCATCAGGAAACAAGAAAGGTTAAAAATGAGTATTCAAATCAATGAATTTGAAAAAGAGCAACAGAGATAACCCAAATAAGTAATAAGGAAAGAAATCAATGAATTATAGAAACAAAACAATATAAAGATTTAGAAAACCAAAAGTTGGCTCTTTTAAAGGATTAATAAAATATAACTTTAGCCAGACTAATCAAGAAAAAAAGATGAATGTGAACAAAATACACTAGGAAAAAAAGGACTACAATACAGATACAACAGTGGTTCATACAAATCAACATCAAAAAAACGAAACAACCCAATCAAAAAATGTACAGAAGAACTGAACAGACATTTTTCCAGAGAGGAAATGCAGATGGCCAACAGGCACATGAAAAGATGCTCAACATCGCTAATCATCAAGGAAATGAGTCAAATCAAAACCACAGTGAAATATCACCTCATACCTACCAGAATGGCTATCATCAAAACTAACACAACCAATGTTGGCAAGGATGAGGGGAAAAGGGAACCCTCGTACTGTTGGTGAGAATGTAAACTGGTGCAGCCACTCTAGAAAACAGTCTGGAGGTTTCTCAAAAAACTAAAACTAGAACTACCATATGACCCAGCAATTTCACTTCTACGTATATATCCAAAAGAAACAATACACTAATTCGAAAAGATACAGGCACCCCAATGTTCATAGCAGCATATTTACAATTGCCAAGATATGGAAGCAACCTAAGTGTCCATCAACATATGAATGGATAGAAAAAGTTGTGAGAGATATATATATATGTATGTATGTATATATAATGGAATATTACTCAGCCATAAAAAAGAATGAGATTTTGCCTTCTGCAGCAACATGGATAGACTTGGAGGGTATTATGCTAAGTGAAGTAAGTCAGACAGAGAAAGACAAATACTGTATGATATCACTATATGTGGAATCTAAAAAATACAACAAATAGTGAATATAACAAAAAAGAAGCAGTCTCACAGATACAGAGAAGAAGTGAGTGGTTACCAGGGAGGAGAGGGAAGGGAGGAGAGGTAAGACAGGGGTGGGGGATTATGAGGTAAAACAATTATGTATAAAATAAGCTACAAGGATATATTGTACAATACCAGTAATATAGCCAATATTTTATAATAGCCAATATTTTATAATAACTATAAATGGAGTATAAAAATTGTACACCTGTAACATATAATATTGTACACCAACTATACTTCAATTAAAAACATTTTTTTAAACCATAAGCCCATTTCACTTACAAATGTTTGTTTGAAAGTCCCAAATAAGGTATTAGTTAACTGAATCCATGAACGTATTTTACAAATATATTAAGAAAGTGTTTATCCCAGAAATGCAAGATCACAAAATCTATCAATGCAATTTACTATATTAATAGACTCCCATGCTCACTCTCAGCTGGTTTTGCTTTCTACTTTATAAGAAAATTGAAGGAATCAGAAGAGAACTTGTATTTGCTCCCTTCACTGTCTTTTTACTCATCTCTTAACATCTGTACCCATAATTCTGCCTTCCTAAGTATTTCCATAGATGAATTATCCACTCTAAAACCAATTCCTCCACTTATGGACTAGATCTATTTCCTCCTGCCCACTCTGGGATATCACTCCAGCAGTGCTTCTCTTTATCTTTCTTTCATCATTATTTTTTCACTTCTAGCGAACCACTCCTATCAGCAAATGTGCTATTTCTCCCACTTAAAAAAACAAAAAAAAACAAGAAACACTTCTCTTGGCCCTGCTTACCATCCAATTTCTTTTCTCTCCTCTGTAGCAAAACTCCTTCTGTATTTATTAATTCACTTCTCTTCTCTTACTCGGTCTGAAACGCATTCTATACAGGCTTTTACTCCATCACTCCACCAAAACTTCTCTTAGCAAGCTCACAAACAACCTCTATATTGCTAAATTCAACAGCCAACTCTCATCTTATTTAACTAATAAAAACCACTCCTTCTTGATATGCTTTCTTCACTTGGTTTCCAGGATACCACATTCTCTCTCCTTCCCACCTAACTATTTGCCCCTTTCTACCTCCTTTACAAGTACTTCCTCTTCAGTTTTTTTTAATGTTGATGTCTCCCAGAGCTCAGTCCTTGGTACTCTTTTCAATCTATACTTACTCTCTTCATGATCTCATCCAGTCTTATGGCTGAAAAAATTATCTATATACCTGTGGCTCCTTAATTTCTTTCTTCAAGCAAATTTTTTCTTCCAAACTCCAGATTCATATATCCTACTTGCTACTCAACATCTCCACTCTGATGTCTCAAACTCAACATGTTTAAAACTCCACCTGAACTTTTCAAACTCAAAATGTCCAAAGATGAACTACTAATACTGTTTTCCAAACCTGTTCCACTTGAGGCCTTTCCTATTTCAGTTGATAGTAACCCTATCCTTCCAGGTGTTCAAAGCAAAAACTCTGAAATCACATATTTTTTTTAACATATTGGAGTAATTCCTGATTTTTCTTTTTTCTCATATCTCACATCATATCTGCCCAAATATATCTAGATTATAACAGTTATCACTGCTTCCACTCACTGCTACCATCCTTATCCAGATGCTATCCTCTCTAATACCTTCCTAACAGGTCTCTCTGTTTCTACTCTTGCTTCCCTACAGTGTATCCTCAACACAGTGGTCAAAGTGATCCCTTTAAAATGTCAATTATGTCACTCCTCTGCTCAAAAACCTGTAATGACTCCTTGCAAATGCTATAAGAATAAAAAAAGAAGAGTGGTATAAAGTTTAGAAAGTAAGTGACAAAAAACTATTAAGATAGTTCCACATAATTACTGGATTAAAATCAACCTGTAGGGCTCCCCTGGTGGCGCAGTGGTTGAGAGTCCGCCTGCCGATGCAGGGGACACGGGTTCGTGCCC